CACGCACCTCTGGGACATCCGTGTGCGCCCCACCTCAGCAGGGCCAACCTGAACCCCTCACGCATGCGTTCCCTCCACCTCCAGTGGGCTCCCACAGCAGACACCTGAGAGCTCCTTCCCGGATGCCGCTGCGTCCTAGGGCACCCCACAGCCTCCCAGCGGCTGCTGAGTCCTGGGCCGACCCCCGCGGAAGCTCCCGGCACCCCCACCTGGATGCCAGGCCAGCAGCGGCCCCCCCCAGAGAGAGGCCGCCGCCCCCTGGGGTCTCCAGGCCCTCAGAGAGGCCTTCAGAAAACACGGGCCCGGCTGTTCAGAGAGCGGACACCGTCCTGACACCCCCACACGTGCGGCGGGTCGGATGAGCGGGCAGAGGGCCGGCTCCGTGCGGTGAGCAGTGTCCACACGCATCGCTGTCTGGGAAGACTCAGCTGCGTTTATGCCCTTAAACCAAAACAAAATCCCTGGTGAGTCAAGCCTTCAATCACTGAAAGAAAAACAAGCAACCAACAAATTGAGAAGGTTCTAGAAGAGATCACAGCATGTCTGTTTACGGTCCTGACGTCTGGAAGGCGTTCTGAAGAACGCCAGAGGATGGGTGACACGACAGTGGAATATCAACACTTCAGCCTTGAAGACAGAGGGAACCGGACCCCTGCCCCACGGGGACGAGCCCCAAGGACACGAGCCAGACACGGAAGGACGCGCACGGGGACCCCACTCACACGAGGTCGCAGAATCGTCAGACTCACAGACACAGAGGGTAGACGGCGGGACAGGGGCTGGGGGAGCAGGTGGGGGTCCGTGCGTCACGGGGACAGGGTCTCCGTGTGCAGGATGGAACGTTCTGGAGCCAGACGGGGGGACGGTTGCACAGCAGCATGGATGTGCTCGGTGCCCCTCAACTGGACACTTAGAAATGGTTAAAGTGGTAAATTTCTGTGTTGTACCTGTTTTACCACAATAAAAGAATTATGGAAAACAAAAAACAAAAAATTTTAAAACTTCCACGTGACAAAAAAATTTCATAGACAAGCAGAAAAAGCCAATCACAAATTAGGAAGCATACGCACTATACATCCAATCATCAAAGGCCTGACTTGGTCAGTTTACCAATAACTCAGGCAAGCCAATCGAGAAAACAACGAGAACAGGATAAATCGGGTGATTTGCAGAGAACTCAACACAGAAACCAAGTAACCGGTGGACAGAAGCGCAAATCCTTCACCCTGAAGGATGCCCTGCTCAGGGGCCACATGGGGCCTCTGGTACAAAGACTCTCGATTTCAGGACGGCAGAGCGTGAAAGGGCAAGCAGGGGCCTCCCCAGTCTGGGGTCCAGGCCTGACAACGGCCCTGACCTGAGCTGCCATTTCCCAGCAGACAGCCTGGGTGAGCGGGAAGGGCAGGCCCCGCACACAGCTCGGGGCCAGGGGAAGGTGGGACCGCCTCTCCCAACGCACCTTCCAAAATGCGGAGGTGGGACCTTTTAACCCCCGGGCACTGACGCCTGAAAGGAATAAGGCAGGGCTGCGGGAGCCAACAGGACACCACTGCGGGAAGAACGCCCCGGAAGCGTACGCAGGGGGACGACCGCACAGGCCCGCCTGGGTGCTCCTCTGTACCTCTCTGCACTTAAGAAAGCAACGGCTTCCCACTGAGCCCATGGACAGCCCAAATTCAGCATCTGCCATGGCACGTCCTTCCTTCACCCACACTGTTCCCACCACTCCAATGCCCTCCCAACTCTCTTCTGCCCGCCCTTGAAGACCTGGCTCAAAGGTCGCTGGTTCTGGTAAAAGAGCACCTCGAAAGAACGGGGAGGATGGGGTCCGTTCCTCCTCTGTGATCCCATGTGTTGAACAGATGGCCATGGGACAGCCACATCCCAGAGAAGGACTGTTCACTCTTTAAGTATCCGTCCCCACTGGGAGGAGCTCTCGACGGGAGAAGGACACAGCTGTGTCTCGGGGTCCTGACACCCCCACGGACATGCACCACACAGGGCCTCACCAGCGCTTACCAGGTTTTGGTTTGGTCACAAGCTGTGGGACCCTGGGCAAGCAACTTGGCCCCCGCCTCATCGCTTACTCCACAGCGTGGCTGTGCGGGTCGGGAGGGACCCAGAGCTGCCAGCCGAGTGCTGGTTCTGATGCAGAGCACAGCATTACCTACAATCACGCTGCAGATGCCCTTGGTTTTCTCACTCTTCGGGAACCTGGGGCACGTGCAGGGCTCTACCTCAGGAAGACTGGTGTGCCCCAGGGAACCCATGTGACCTTGGGCCAATTTTCCTGCCTGACAAATGGGAGCAGGGATGCTGGCCAGGACCCCTGGAGTCCCCATGGAGATGGGGACAAGTGTGGGTAATCACAATCCTCCTCCCAGGCCACCTGCCCTTCACCCTGGCCTCTTCCTACAACCCCCTGACCGCAGCCAGCTGGCAGGAAAGTCGCCTAACTTTAGTGACCATGGCTCAAGAATGGGGCAGAGCCAGGACCCGAGGCACCCACCAGATCTGAAAGCCACTGGGGCCGTGTTGCCGGTAGAGGTGCAGTGGGCCAGCTCACCACCAGGGGGCATCTTTCAGCGCATCCTCCCAGGACTCGGTTCTGAATGAATGCCCTCACTCCCTGCCCCTGAGCAACAGGGCAGCCGGGCCGTCCCACCCCCTCCCTGGGCCTCGTGCCCCTGCCCATATGATGGGCACTGGAAGCAGGAGGACTTTGGGCAGCCCAAATCAACTGTCTACAGGAGCCTGTGGAGTGGCATCAACAGGTGAGGGCATTAGGTGTAGGAAAAAGGGGAATGGTTGGGTCTGCAGCATCCTGGAGACGGCACACCTCCAAATTCTAGAAGTTTTAAAGCATTATGGCACCAAACCACCAAGACCACAGACAGGCAAAATCCACAGCAAGCTGCTAGATGTTCACACCGGACAACAGAGCCCTGAGGTTCTCCTCCCGATCCCATAATCAGATGGGCCGAGCTCTGCGACCCGGGCCCCCAGTAACACAAGCCCTGGCTGCCCTTCCTAGCTAAGTCTCCACAGAGAACCGAAACTGTGCCTTATTCGACCTCCGGGACCACGCGACTTTCTGTCAGCTGGACTGAGTCTGGGTACTCTTTAAAAGATTGTCCCCTTCCCTGGGAGGTTATGGAGCTGGGTGGCGCCATCATGCGGGAGGCAGGTCAGGCCGGTGCAGCCCTGTCTTCGCTTCTCCCAGTCCTCGCTGGGGGGCTTTAAGCAGCCTGCTTACCCTCTCTGCGCTTCCATGCCTCATATCAGCCCAGTGTCATCAGCAACAAAGCCAGTCAGCCTTGTTCTAACAAGACGGTGCCCCATGAGGCCTGAGGTCCAGGGACCACCTCAGAACATGTCATGTGATGCAAGCTCCAGATTCCAGCTTCCCACGGAATACGGTTCCCGTGGCTCGGAAGTTGTTATCCTCAAGGTCTCTGCCCAGAGCAGGTGGCTCTATGCAAGATGAAGACTAAATTCGTTGCCTGTGTGAGCCATTAAGCTCCTACTAAGATGAGGCCCTGCATTCTCCAAGATACTAATTTTGTGTCTTCGTGTTGCCTGAAAGAGAAGCAGCAACCCTGAAGTCAGAGCCAGGTGGGAGGGACGGGGCCGAGGCCGCTGGAGAAGCAAAAGCTGCCTGTGAATCCAGCAGACGGCGTGTTTTTCCCATCACCTGGGGACCCCAGCCAATCTGTGGGAAAACAGGCTGCTGGGGATGCGCGGGCGGGAGGCAGAGACAGTGGCAGATAACAGGAGACAGCTGCTCGGGCCGGCGCTGCGGCCCTCCAGCCAGAGGCCCATTTTAATTAGAGCTGCAGAGAGCAGGGCCGCTGCCAGGAAGACCGCCCCAGGGTGAGATGTTCTCGCCCACCCGTCTGGCGGCTCCAATAATGAGGCCCCAGCCGAGGGCCCAAAGCACAGAGCTGCCTGGACTGCCCATACCACACGCACACGGTGCCTCCTCATTACCGCGCTTCTGGACTCCCAGGGGCACGGCGATGCTCGTCCCCGGGCACGCTAATCGGAGCAAGCCAAGAAGGGACCTGACTGAACCCAGGGGCTCCCCCCTCCCTCCTTCAGTCTGGGATGCACCCTCGGGGCAAGGCCAGGATTCTCGGCACAGCCCAGGGCTCTGGAGCACCCTGCGGGCTGCCTTCTGAGGCTCTTTGTGTCCCTGAGCAGAGAGTAACTGCTCCCAGCATCCCCAGGAAGGACAGAAGATCTGCATTTGCTCACAGTAGCTGACACCAAGCAAGGAGTCTGCACCTGCCACTTGGACCCTCACCTGGAGTAACTCAACACAGCAGAGGGGCTATGGAGGGGCATGAAGACACCTGCTCCAGCCCCAGCTAGGACACCTGCTGCATGGCCCAGAGCAAGTGGCAAGGGGCCAGCCCAGGGCATGAGGAGCTCTAGCCCCAGCTAGGACTCCTACTGTGACCTGGAGCAAGGGACAGTGGGGAAGGGACTTCCCCTCACTGGGCCTTGAAACCCTCCTCTATACACTGATGTTGGGGCATGAGCTGGCCTCCTACATTCCTTCCTGCTGTGTCCTGAGGCCCAGAGCAGCCAAGCTTACCTTCCTCAGGCTCAGGATGGAGCAGAGAATGACCTTGTGGAGTGGCCTCAGACTAAACACTGAGAAAGAGTGAGGCCTGGCTGTGGGGTTCATGTGGATGTCTGGGCCAGCATCAGAGGGGCAAAGCAGTGTCCAGGGAGAAGCCCACTGACTCAGCCTGACCTCCACACCACAAAAGGGCTATTAGAAAGAGGATGATGATGATGACTATGATGGTGAGGAGGGGAAGGAGGATGGTGGTGGTGATGATGGTGATAATGAAGGTGATGATGGTGATGGTGGTGATGATGGGGATGAGGATGGGGATGGTGATGGTGGTGATGGTGGTGATGATGGGGATGATGATGTTCATAATGATGGTGGTGATGATGGTGTTGATGAGGAGAGTGATGATAGGGACGATGGTGTTGATGAGGACAGTGATGACGGGGATGATGATGGTTTTGATGAGGATGGGGATGGTGATGGTGGTGATGATGGGGATGATGATGTTCATAATGATGGTGGTGATGATGGTGTTGATGAGGACAGTGATGATGGGGCTGATGGTTTTGATGAGGATGGGGATGGTGATGGTGGTGATGATGTGGATGATGATGGTTTTGATGAGGATGGGGATGAGAATGATGATGGTGATGATGATGTTCATAATGATGGTGGTGATGATGGGGATGATGATGGTTTTGATGAGGATGGGGATGAGGATGGTTTTGATGAGGATGGGGATGAGGATGGGGATGGTGATGGTGGTGATGGTGGTGATGATGGGGATGATGATGTTCATAATGATGGTGGTGATGATGGTGTTGATGAGGACAGTGATGATAGGGATGATGGTTTTGATGAGGATGGGGATGAGGATGAGGATGGGGATGGTGATGGTGGTGATGGTGGTGATGATGTGGATGATGATGGTTTTGATGAGGATGGGGATGAGAATGATGATGGTGATGATGTTCATAATGATGGTGGTGATGATGGGGATGATGATGGTTTTGATGAGGATGGGGATGATGGGGGTGATGGTGGTGATGATGGTGATGATGATGGGGATGGGGACGGTAGGGATGTGGATAATGATACACCCATAAACATTACTACATTTCACCTTCCCTGTGACCCTCAAAGTAGGTTTTATTACTCTCATTTGACACTTGAGGAAACTGAGTCCCAAAGAATGTCATTACGCAACTTAATGACATGATTCAAGTCTCCTTCCAAAAAACATTTTAACACACATTCAATTCTATAGCATGCGTGTGTGTGAGTGTGCATTTGTGTGGACAGGCAAGTATGCGTGTGAATGTGTGCACGTATATACACCGTGTGTATGTATGAGTGTACGTGTGTGTATACATGGATGTGTACACATATGCTGGTGTGTCTGTGTCAGTTCAGATATGTATGTGTTTGTATGTTTAATGCATCTCTGGCCTGACACAAAGTGTTCAGGGGTCTCCTGGTCCTCCCTGTTGCTCCCCAGACCCAGCAAGCCAGAGCCCACTCCCTGCAGTCCCAGTTTATCCCAGGACACCTGGGGCCCCCCGACGACCCAGTCTGGATCACCCGCTCTCCCGTGTTCCCTCCTCCTGTAGGTGCATGTGACCTGTTGTTACAGGAGTGGGGGAGGCCGAGCACAGGCTTTGGAGCCCCAGGGACTCCTGCTGGAACCCTGTCTCTGCTATGACATGGGGTATGGCCTCCGGCAGAAGACAGACCTTGTTACATACAGAGGCCAGAAGAGCCTCCAGTAACCACCAGCTGGGAGTGCCGCCGTCCTAGGAGAGAGAACACTGCAGTGTGGCCGGTGAGTGGCCCCCCCCACAGCTACGTTGCACTACCTTCTTCTGAACAAAGGAGCTTAAATAAAGCCCTCACCTCTTGACTCACTGAAGCACCACCACACAAACTGAAGGAGAGGTGCCATCATAATCTGACAAGGGCAAGACCACCCCGCCTGTGACCACAGGGTCACCTGTCTCACATCTGAGTTTAACAGGAGGGGCTTTGAGCACAAAGGCACACACCCCACAAGTGGATTTGCTCGCAGAGGAGTGTTGTTTCCTCCACCCACGCGGGAGGCAGCTCTGAGTTGGGGCGTGCCAGGCGCTCTGTGAACCTGGAAAGAATGTGCCCCAAACCACAGCTCGGGCTGTTGGGCCCAGCTTCTAGTAAATTGGAAAAAGCAAAGAATTTGGATGCCGTGCAGGGGACATCAAGTGAAAGGTCAAGAGACATTGTCTCAGGCCCGCTCCCTCCGGAGCCCACTTCCTGAACCATCCGCCTGTTTCTTTAAAGGCCATAGCCAGAAAAAGGATCCCCTCAGGGTTTCAATATGGAAAGTGAGTTTTCCTGCAGCAAACCCCCCACATGAAAGCCCTCTTCCCAAGCCAGCCTCACCAAGAGGAATTTTCAATCCGAGCATCTGCTTCCTGCACTTCTCGTCCACCTGGCTCCTGGATCCAGAAAAGTCCGAGGAGGTGGGAACCATGTGATTCTGGAAACCTGGGGCCAAGAGCCCAGGACCCCAGCACAAACATTTCCTGGACACACGCAGCTGGGACGGCCAGAGATAGTGCTCAGATCAACTGGCCTTCAGGCCACACCGGCCTTACACCAGCCGGCGCTGGGAGCCGGGGCGGGGCCAGGAAAGGATGTGAAGGACGTGGCTCGAACACGGCTGCCACGGAGGGGGTACGTGGGCCCCACGGAAGGGGAGGCTCGAAGCTCAGTGGGGCTGGAGGGGAAGCAGAGTCTGGTGGCTCCTCAGAAAGTCACATGCGGAGGGATGAGTGCCCCGAAGGCCACTCCTGGGCGTGCACCCCAAAGGCCCCGACACCGTGTTCACGGGAATGTTTGGCACGACCACCAAAAGGCGGGAGCAGCCCAAGTGTCCCTTGACCAGTAAGTGGACAAACGCGTGGTGGCGCACCCCCACAGTGGGAGACCCCCCACCCTTAAACAGGAAGGCGGCCTGCCACAACAGGCAGGGCCGCAAGCCGCACACGGGAGGACGGGTGGGTGCTGCTGACGAGGCAGAACCTCAACCTCGCGGGAGCCCGTTCCCAGTCTTCCTGTGGCCGGGCCAGGCCCGCAGTTGTGGCCCACACACATCTGAGGCAGCGACACAGGACGACTCCAGACCACGGCCCGAGGAGCCTCTCACTCGCTCGGCTGACCTGGGCCGCGTCCATCAGAACTCAGGCTCTGAAGAAGGGCACGGCTGCTGAGCCTGATGATGCCGTGGTTACGATGCTTGGTTAGCCTGCCCTGTGGCTCCAGCAACAGCAAGGGAAGCCTTGGGGATATGAGTCCCGGGAGCGTCCTGAGATTCTGTGCCCTGGAACACCAGCAAGGCACGGTGTCTGGAGCAGGCTGGTGCTGCGCTTGCATCTGGGAGTACGTGAGCATGAAGAAGTTCACGGGGACCATCGCCATAAATAAGAATAATGAGCCTACATGCTCACGCCGAGTTCTGCTCCCATGGCCGTCCCTGGAAGAGCTTAATGCAGACCAAACCAGGCGACGGAGGCCCAGAGAACAAAACTCGTCTTCCAAGTGAGTAGCCAGCTTTTGGGAGACTGAGGCCCAAATCACTGTGCCCCAGAACTCCCTCCCTGCACTCAAGGCTGGGCCTGACCCAGGTGAGCAACCCACCTGCCGGCCAGCAGGAACAAACCCAGATCTGCCGTGTACAGGTACATATTCCAGGCTGGCTCCGAGATCAAAGTCCACCCTGCGCCGCCCGGGCGGCCGTGTCCTCTTGTCTACTGGAGGAGCACCTCCTCCCCCAAGCAGGCACCGAAGTGCGAGTTAGCAGGACCCAATGGACCCAGGCATAGTCCGCAGCCATCCGTTCCCTGATGACCGAAACCCGGTGAAGAACGGACAGAGGTCTGTGTGGCCACTGCGGGGAGTATCTGACCTCCTGCCTGAGAGTGGGGAGTCTGTCCACAGAAAGGGAACTGCAGAGGGACCCAGGGACAAGCCAGGGTCCTGGGGCCACCTCCATACAGCTCACCTTTCACTCTGGACCCCTGGCACCTTTTGACTTTCGATCCATGTGAATGTACCACCTAGTCAAAAACCAGGTCTAAATTTGGACTGAGTTTTTGATGTTTACATTCAAGTTAATAAAGATACAACTCTTGAGTCATCTGGGCCCACGTGGTGACAGAGACCCTAACTGCCAGGTGGACACCTCCATTAGGAGGGCTGAGAACAGTGGAAGCGTGTGGTCTCCCAGTTCTGGAGCCCAGAAGTCCAGAATCAGCACCAGCAGGTGGAAATCGAGGTGCAAGAGGGCCCCATGCCCTCAGAGGCTCCAGGGAAGGACCCCTCCAGCCACTCTCGCCTCTAGGAGTGGCTGGTGGCCTCTGGCCCGAGGTCACCTTGCTCCGTCTCTGCCTCTGTGGTCACAGGGCTTCTCCTCTTCTGAGCAACCTCCCTGTGCCCCCCTCCTGCAAGGACCCGACACTGCATTTAGGGCCTCCTGAGGGTGAATCCTGAGCGTCTCTGCATGGCAAGACCCTCCTGGGATGCGGGCGCTACAGGGGGGCCCACACAGAGAACTGGCCTCCCCTCCCTGCCTGTCGTGCCCCTGTGTGCTTCCATGGGGTGGGCACCTCCTGGAACGTGGCTCCAGCCACACTCCGCCATGGAGGCTCCAGAAGCGCCCCAGCCGTGGGTGAGGCCCCAGAGCGCCAGGCCTCTGGACGCGCCTGCAGCCTTCCCAGGGGACCCACACGTGCGATGTCGCCAGTGGCCCTCGGAGGCGCATCACACCTGTCGAGACCGCCCCCTGCGTCTCTCTGGTGCAGCTACTCTGCAGTGGGGCCCATCCTGCGTAGACACTGCACGGTCCAGAAACCATAAGCCTCCTGGCAACGCTGGCAAAGCGGGGGGCGGACAGACCCGGAGCCACCGCACAGGGCAGAGCTCTGCACACGCGCACCATCCCGGGACGCTCAGGTGAAAGGGCCCGCCGGTGTCACAGAACGAGGCTGCAGGGGGCACTTTCTCTTCTTGTTCCGTGGATTTGCGTGTCGTTTGAGTTCTGCAGAGCACAGTCATCAAAACGTGCTCAGTTATCTAGCCAGGAAACATAACTCGCCAAAAGTGAGAGAAAAGAGAGAAAAACTAAAACCCTATACACCCTTTCATCCACATCAAGGAATTTAACTTGAAGGAAGAAACAAACAAGTACCAAAGGTGAGCGCACAGGACGGCCATGGTCGTTGAGAAAACGCAAGCAGCCCTGGGAGGGAAGGAAGGGTTTTAAAGCAACTCTACAGAAGCAGATACTACAAACCCTTCCTGACAGATGGACGTTCACAACCTCGTGAGCGGGACAAGCTGTGGAGGATGTGATCCCACGCTGTGACACGGAATTAGCGTACACGCATAAATCCACAAGCACCGCCCCAGAACAGTCCCAGGGATTTTCTCCAGGAGTCCGATTTTCCCAATTGTTCGTAGGATCTCCATTCCCAACGCATGGCCCCCGAGGCCCTCACCGATGTTGGGTGCCCCCCTGGAAAGACCCCACCCTGCAGTCATTCCTGGTGCCCGCCGGGGCCACGTGACTTGGCAGCAGGCTCATGGGTGTCTGCGGATGACAAGGGCACATGGAAGCCTCAGATCCTGACCTGGGCACACGCGCACCCCCTGCGACCGGCGGCCAGCAAGGCCGGGGAGGGGGTGTCGATCCCGGCCCCATCCCCTCCCAGGTTCCTACCTTCTCTCGTTGTCGTCCAGGTGGGCAAACAGCACATTTTTGGAGATGGCTTTGGCCAAAGCCGTCATGGTCTTATAGTCCTTCGGGATGACCTGCAGGGGAAGCCAGTGAAAGTCAGACTTGCGAGGGTCCTCGAGGGTCCTGCAGACAGATAGGGGACAACAGCTTGGCAGCACGAGTGTGCTCGACGCCCCTGAACCCTGCACAGCAGCACAAAGTGGTGCACAGACAGACTGTCCCCAAAACCCTACCCCCCAGCGTGTGGCGTCTGCAGGCGGGCCCTGGCGGGATCAGCGCCCCAGAGGAGCAGACCCCCGAGAGCCCGCTCTCCCACTCTCCTCGACACCTGAGGACACGGGGGCGGCGGGACTCCCACCAGGAACCCGCCCACCGGCACCTGCTCTCGGACGCCCGGCCTCCAGACCGTGAGAGAATGAGCGTCCCAGCCACCCGGACTCACACACACAGGAAACCGTAGGCTATGCGTAGTGCGCCTAATTAACTCTGTTAAGAGATCAAAAACTAAAAATACCAAGAAAAAAAGTAAAAGCGAGGGTATAAGAATATAAACACACAAGATGGAAATGACAAGCCCGCATCCAAGGGCAGGCAGGAGGCCGGGCTGCACACCGATGCGCGTGGGCAGAGCGCATCACGACGCAGTGGCAGGCTGGGCGCCGAAGCCGAGGGCAGGACGCCGAGGAACAGCAACGTGGAGGGGGGGATTCCCACTGGGCAGCTCTGAGGCCAGGCTCCAGTCTCCAGGAGGACGGGGGCCACAGGATCTCCTCTCCACACCCTGCGAGCCTGCGGGCAGTGACTGTGACGATGACGTTCCCACCACCGCAGCCCCTCTCGGAGCAGAAGGGAGAGTAGCCGGGAGCAGGGACCCCAGGAGTGAGGGCCGGGGGGGCCCACCTTCCTCACGTAGGACACGGCATCCTCCTCCGTGTACACCTCGGCACTCACGCCCCCTCGGCGGCGGCGGGCTTTCACCACAGGGTTCGGTGGGGTCGGGGAGACCTCCTCATCATGTGAGTCTGACTTCTGCTGTGTCAGAATCTGTCTGTTTTCTTCCTGTGGGAGAAGACAGAGGGAGGTCTGAGAACAGCAGCTGGCGTGGTCTGTCCACCTGCGGGTGCAGCCGAGGGGCCCTGCCCAACCCTCCTCCCTCCGTGCCCGGCAGACCCCCAGCTTCAAGGGCACCTCCAAGTCCATGTCTTCCCACCCACCCAGCCCCACAGAGCGCCTGCTAGGAGGGTTTCTGCCCGCCCTCACTGCGAGCGCAGGCATGGTGTCAGCCCTGGAAAACATCAGACACATTCGAAGGCCCTCATGGCCTCCAGTCTCGGGCATGACATGCGTCCCCTCGAGGGTGCCATGGCCACAGCCTGCCTGCATGTGTCCCCCAGCCAGCACGGGCTCCTCCCAGCCCAGAACGCGCTTCCCACGTCTCAGGACTCGCCCCCACCCCCCAAATACCACAGTGAGTGCAGAGCCCCCTCCCCTCGGGGCGCCCTCCCTCGCCCCTCCTCAGCTCCCATCCTTGCTCGCCCAGAACCGCACGGTTTGCTGAGCTGCCTGCCAAGCCGTTTCCCACAGCAGCTGTGCCCGAACGTGCCCCACATCCTTGCTGTTTTCCCAGGTTTGGGCGTTTTTCATGTGGTTGATGTGCGCTGGGTTTGGACACACTGACTTTGAGAAAACAATGAGACCCAGACTGGGGAATGGCCGGCACAGCACTGGGGTCTCAGGCCCAGCGCGGACACACAGATGCTCAGCTCCAGGGGTCCCACACAGACAACCCCCAGAGGCAAGTACCCAACCTGGAGCCAGAGCTACCCGGCCAAGGGAGAGCAGAAAGAGGGACACAGGGCTTCCTCCACCTTACTGCCCACCCCCCAAGCGGTGTCCCTGGTGAACACGTCGATGCCACCTCCAGCAAGAAGCCTTCCATCCACCATTCGTCTCTAAGTCCCGGAGTTCTCCCCACGCTGCTTCAACACGATGGGCCGCCAGAACCCACTACACGCTCAGCCATGACCCTCCCCACTCACAAGACATGGCACCTCAGGGCACTGGCTGGAAAGGAAGGGTGAATGAACGGAGTCAGGAGGGGGTTTGAGCCCCATGTCCTTGAGTTACATAGGCTGTCGTGACCACAGCGCTCAGAGGCTGGGGGCTGATGTTGGGCCCTGGCCCGCGACATGCCCTCCAGAGCCCAGGCTTGGGGGTGCCGTCTCAGCAGCCCCCTTGGGAGGCCTGGGTGCAGCGAGAGGGTTTCCAGTGGGAAGGGCAGGGTTACAGGACGCCCACCCGAGGGGTTCAGAGCAGAGGAACTGAGACCCGCAAGGAAGCCCCGTCATGTCCCGGCCAGCACTGGGACCGCTGGGAAAGGTGCCCAGCTGCAGACCCGCACAGTGGCTGTGTTACACACAGAGGGAAAGGAAGAGCGCTGGGCACCTGGCTTTCTTGGGACCGTGGGCATCGCTGTCCTGCCTCGGGCCATTTTCCATGGTTGCCAGCAAAGGGCCTAACTGGGCAGGATCCAGGAGATCTGAGGCCACTTGGGGAGGTGTCGGGCGGAAACGGGATGGCATCCCCTCCCCTCCCCCTCGGGATTCCAGGAAAACCTCTAATTTTCCGGAGCCCCCTTCCTGTCTCCTGTTCTCACGCTGATGAGCTGTCTGGGCTGCAGGATGGTCAAGGGCACGGGGTCAGAGGAGTCTTCACAACAGCAGTGTGGGAACAGCATTTCCAGAAAGCTCTGCAGCCAGAATCTGCACCAGAAACGCCTAACGCAGCTCCAGGGACTGTCCCTGTTCTGCCCCCGGGGCCAAGTGCTCCCTGGATCGTGAATGACGGTCACAATCTACTTCTGACCATGTTTTTCCAGCACGAGGGGTGAAAGGCAGACTTGCAGCCTGAGAAGAGAAAATTCTAGGCCAGGGAGGGGTGGGATGACGGGAGATTCTCTGGACCTGAGTTTCTGCTCCTGAGAGAAGCCCACATGCCTGGGACCCGGGACTGGCAGAATCCCTCCCTCCACGCCCCAACCCCAGGCGTGCTGGCTGAGGACACAGCTGGGGCGGTTAGCCAAGTCAGCCTGACCCCGCGCACAGGCCCTGAATACCCCAGAGGAGGGGAGGCCGTGTCCCGGGCGGTGGCCAGACTCCCAGTGGCTGCCCACGGTCAGCATTTCTAGGGCTCCCCCCAGGGAGACAGTCCCTCAACCCCTGTCCCGTCCAACCGAGTGGGCGCCGTGGTATCGGAGATCTGTGGTGTCCAGGGCAGGGGTCCATGGTGCCAGCCCCGGGCCGACCACAAGCCTCTCTCCCGGGGCTGCAGCCTCTCAGAGCAGAAGGCAGGCCCAGGGCCGTCATCCCCGTCTATGAGGCCAGGAGAGGATGAGGGCCATGTCCAGGGGAACTCGACCTTCAGTGGCAGGGTGAGGAGAGAAACGTGCAGTTTCAATCACTTGTTGAGTACCTCACCCAGAGACTGCTACAGAGAAAAAGGCATAGTTCTGTCATGAAGATTTCCATCTAACAGGAAAGACAGGTGAAAAGTCAGGGCAATATAACAGCATGAGCCACAGAGGACTAGGTACAGGGCTGGGCGGGGCGGGGGGAAGTCAGGGAGGGCTTCCTGGAGGAGAGGCCTTCTGAGCCTGCCCAGATGAGCCGAGTGGAACCAGGGGCACCTGTGGGCCCCTGTGAGCTCAGCCTCCGCACCTCCCCAGGCACCCTGTTCAGGAAGCGCCCTCTCCCCAACCTGTGCGCCATCTCTTTGCAAGGCCGCCTTCCCAGATGCCTATTTTATTCATCGTCAGAGTCACCTCTGCGTTTACCATCTGCTACCATCTCTGATCTCTGTTTCATTACCTTCTGCCAGATCTTCACTATTCTCTGCCTGCGTTTGCTTAGTCTGGCTCTGTCACTCAATTTCCGACTTCCCAGGCCACACGCACAGCGGGTTCGATAGGCCCCCTCCCGAGGGTGGCTCTATTTGGAAATGGGACCTTTGCAGACGCTGTCAGGTAAAAATGAGTTCTGGACACACGGCCCGCAGGGCAGACCTCGCCATGAAGACAGAGGCAAAGGCTGGGTGATGTGTCTGCAAGTGAAGGACTGGAGGCGACAGGCTAGGACACAGGAGGAAGCGCCCCACTGAAGTCTTGGCCTCGGGCTCTGGGCTCCGAGCTGTGGGGCAATCAGTTCTTGCTGCCTGCAGCCGCCCAATCCGCGGTGATGTGCTCTGCTCAGGAATTCCTGATCTTACTTTCTGGCGAAGCGGTGATTTTCCCTCCAAGGACCGATTCTGCTGCAACTACGGGAAGCTTTGTCACTCAGTTTAGATATTTCATGATTTTTCACTTTTTACGTAGATTTTTACTATGACAGTCTTCTTCAATAAATTATGCAAAAGCTCGTTATTGGTTTCCAAGTGTATGGGGAGGCTGGCTGCCTCCTTTTTTCTGGTTACTTCTTAATTAGTGATAATAAAGTAACTCTATTAGATTATAATCAAAGAATATAGTTTTTGAGTGAAAAAACGATTTAAACTCATCTGGGGATCCTTTTAATAACATGTCCCACTGTGTATGTGATTGTAAAACCCTGACTTACACACACCTTTCCTGGATCTCGTATGTTGCCTGATCACACACTGACGGGACCCAGAAAGAGCAGAACTCAGTAGTGACCAGAGCAGAGTAGGGCCTACTGTCTCGTGCAGCTGGGCACATGCCCAGGGGGGCACAGCTGGAAACTCCTGTGCTCAGTATCACGACCCAGCACCCGGAATGCACCAGGCCTGCGGCAGGGGTTCGATAGGTATCTGTGGAATAAACAGGTGAATGAATAAACCCTTTCTGCAGCACAGCCAGCTTCACAAATCAATGTGTCCATCCGAGCCCCATAACTCTCTTTCTTAAAATACATCCTAGCAAAGCAATGACAGGTGTCAAAGAGATATCGGTACTAGAATGTTCTCTGCAATGTTTAAAAATTTTTAATCCAGGGCGCCTGGGTGGCTCAGTCATTAAGCGTCTGCCTTTGGCTCAGGTCATGATCCTGGGGTCCTGGGATCGAGCCCCTCATCGGACTCCTTGCTCTGCGGGAAGCCTGCTTCTCCCTCTCCCGCTCCCCCTGCTTGTGTTCCCTCTCTCGCTGTCTCTCTCTCTGTCCAATAAATAAATAAAATCTTTAAAAA